GTCGCTATTTTGTTTCTTTTATTTATTTTATTATTTTCGCTAGTTTAGCGATCAACTTTGGTCGTTTTTTTCCACAGACCAACTTGGTAGTTTTTTGTAGGCCTGTAACAGTCAAAAAAAATGTGGAGCCAAGGGAGTTTGAACCCAAGACCTCTCACATCAAATTTGAAACTATCAACCACTAGACTATTGAGCTATTTTGATTCAAGTGGTATCACTTTTAATCATTTAATTTTGTATTTCTATTTTATTTATTATTTTTATATACATATGTAATATAATTTTTCGACTAAACGGTGTCCCGTGACACCGCTCAGGTCCATGTAAATCCGCCCCTCTATATATATATATATATATATATATGTATATTCTGTCTTATATATATATATTATTTTATTACTACTATTTAGAAGCGGGAGTTGGGGCTCTTCGTCGTCCTGCTTCCTGATTTACAATTAGGTCCCTACCTTTGATCCAAAAGNATTTACAATTAGGTCCCTACTTTTGATCCAAAAGCAGGGGTATTTTTGTCACTCTGCTCACTTTGTACTTTCTGCAACGCCTTTTCCCTTCGCACTCTCTTCAATACGCGCTTTCTCATCCTCTATCGACGTGGAAGACGAATCGATTCTTGCTTCTGCTGCTGTCAGCTGTTCTTCCAGATGGGTAACACCTGCTCTTGGATGGATATCCGATTAGGGGTGACTGCCAATAAAATCTACAATACCTTCTGTTCTATTTGGGTTTTCTTTTCCTTTTTTTGGTTCATGGTTTACTACTCTGTTCCTTTTGGTGTCTCTGCTTGCTAGGTGAAACAAGTCAGTACTTCTTGCTTCCTTCTCTATCTCCTCCTTTAGAGTTCTGTGTACTGCAATATGTTACTTAAGAGTTATTAGCTACAACGTTCATCTCTTGTAGCCTTTTTTTCCCTATGACCATGTTCAAAGAAAGGAGCTGTAATTTATTCTTTAATCAATAAACTTGTGGAGATTTGTATTCACTTAAAGCTAGGCACACAGCTGCTCGTTCTGCTACTTCTCGCGTTATCTGCCTCTCTTGTATGACGCTTTAGTACTTTGTACTTGAAAAAGATAACAATATTCATACTAAGATACCTATTCAAGTTGTTGTCACTGTGATGTACACCCTTTAAGATTAAAACAAAAGGCCCACCAATTAGACCATAAATAATTGTGGGAAAATCTGGGAATAATGTTTAAAAGAATATTTTTGTAAATTCTTATTTACCATGTCACTGGTAGCTTGTCTCCCCACCCTCCTTGTTTTCTCGTTGGTTAAATTGCAGTCTAGGATGAGTGACCAGCTTTTTTGTTGGCCTGTGGAAGGGACATAAAGATGGATGTTGGGTATGTTTTGTAAGTCTATTCATGCCTGTGCAAATTTCCAAGGCGTTGTTGTTGTGTTAGTATAATTAGGCTATAATATATGAAGTGATATGGAAATATGTAACAAGACTTTGTAACTTGCATCTTTCTTTTCATGTTAAATTTACTTGAATAAGTTTTAGAAACGTAGAGATAAGTGGTTGGCATCAAACATGCCATAAAATTTACAGATGGATGCAGATAAATGAGTTGTTAAAATTTTGTAATTTTTCCTTCAGCACATTTGGTGATTGATTTTTGCTTGGAACAATGATTTAATTCAGTTATTTTTCCTTATCAGCAACCAAGGTACAATACCAAAATCTTGCTGGAAAAATCATATTATTTTACCATGATAATTTTACCTTGGTGTTGTATTATATGATGTGTTAGAAGAAAATGAAAAATAACTTATCTCCAACTGAATGGCACCAAGATTCCAAGCATGTTCCTGGAGAAAGTCTGATGTCGACCTGTTAAATTTGGATCTACTGAATAAACAACGGAAATTTAGCCTTTGTGATCTACATTACGAGGATAATGGGTGGGGGTATGTAACTACATTTGGTTTTTTGCATCATTGTATCTTGGAAGAGTCATACGAAGTACTGATAGCCTTTCTAACGTAGAGCGGGAAAGAATTTAAAGTAAATTAGTGCATCATGAGTTCTCCAAGCGTAAGAAGAAAGCACTGTATTTAAGAGAATGAATATAACATCAACTGAGATAATGAAATTAGGAAAAATTGTTTATTTTGTCAGACAAGTCAGCCTATTTTATGTGTCCGTTAATGTGCCAGAATGATATTTTCAGTGATTATTATCTATTAGAACACAAACAAATAAGGGAGAGAAAGGGGAAACAACTTGCTTCCACCTACGTAGATGAATTAAACCATAATTATCTTTTAATGTTTGCTTCGATAATACACTGTTGCCAAAGTCTGTAAGAAATTCTCTTTTTTAAAATCCTGAAAGGTTCTTCGATGAAAATTGGTGAATTACATGTTACTTTGATCGGTCAATCAGTCCACATCATAAACTAATGGAATGACCCAGTAGCACACACCAACAACCTTTTTTCTTCGTTGTACCATTACATTTGAGACAGTGATGTTACAATTTCCGTACAGAATTATTTTTAAGAGTATCTTCGATGCCCAACATGTTCTGTATGTTGACCATGACTGAAATTGCTTTTTATTTTTGTAGAATTGTTGACGTTTCTCTTACGTTCAGTACAACCAACACACTTGCAGAAGAAGTTCAGCACCGTAAGGTAACCAAGTATCTTCTTTTAGTAGTTGCTGTTGTCCACCATTTTCTTTTGTACAATTATTTTGTTTATTTTTTGTTTGTTAACTGATTTATGTGCGTAACAAAAGTTTGGCTTGACATATTCGCTTTTTCATTTATGGTGTGGTCTCACGGTGTCTATTTTTTTTATTTCACTTCGGGTCATGTTTTGATTAGATTTTCCCGCTTATTTAGCGAAGCTTTACCTTTGGAAAAGTACCTTTGAGCGGATGTTATAATACGAAGAAAAAAAACCTAAAATATTATCGTAATTGTTCTCCCTATATGTACAAAAATTGATCAGAAAGCTCAGAGGTATTCAGCTGACTCTAATGTCACTTATGCAAAAACTAATAGTCAAAGCGTACCTTTTTTTTTAAAACATACAATGACATTATGAATCGCCTCCCATATTTTATTCCTTGGGTTAACTGTATCTGCTCAAAGATAGCCTTAATTTTGTCACTTCCTGTCGTGTGATATGCATGTCGGTGATAAAAATTAATACAATGTTAAAAGGCTATGATAGTTTGCGCAGTATCATTTAAGAGTAGGTACTATGGTTCTGATGGATCATACACAAAAAAACAAATGCCCCCTATCAGAAACGGATAGGAATGTCAACCGACGTGAAAAATATAAAGCCATGTCAGTAGAGAAAAAATAGAAGTTGCTGCTACAACGCCGACTTAAATACCAAGAGTCAAAGACACGCACACCTCTTGAGAAAATAACTGTGGATCGCTTGACTGGAATAATGGATCCACCTGAATGCTCTACGAACACTTCTTACATTCTGCATCCAGGTTAGAACATACGATTCTCCGTACAGAATCGCTTTGACCTTGTCTCGCAGCGTTATCTCTCATTTTAAATAGTTAACTTCCTCTACGCTTTCTCTTCGATGTAGCTTTTAATACGTGTAAGAATCATCCTCTGCCTTCTGCTATGGGTAACGAAATAGATGTATTGCGTCCACTTTCTACCTATGAAAAAGGTGAGTATGCCGCCTTCTACGCTTACTTTTACACTACTTGCCATCATTTTGGGCCATCTAAGGACCACCCAACTTGGTCTTAGGTTCAACGTCAGCAGTACCCGGGGAACTACGTAACAAAGACTCCGAAGTAGTTACGCCTAGAGGTTTGTTTGGTTTTCTGTCTGCTGAAACACTAATTGTTTCCTCTGGTTCACCTTAATTTTAACGGTCTATTTCCAATATATAGGTCGTACATCCACTACAAAGTCTTGTCCAATTATCGGTCAGCTGCGTTCAAACTATGTTCCACTTAAGAAAGTTCCAATCTGCAAATTTTGCTCAGCAAAGAGATTTCAGTATGAACCGCCTACATTTTGCTGTGGCAGTGGGACAATAAAGTTAACTTCTCATCAAATGCCTACCAAACTGCGTAATTTATTTCTTGGAAACATTGTGGAGTCCAAACACTTCCGAACGTACATTAGAACGTATAATAATCTTTTTGCGTTCACATCACTTGGTGTAAAGTATGACAAAGATTTAGCAAAAAGAAATTCTGGTATCTACACCTTCAGAGTTCAAGGGAAGATGTACCATCGGATAAATAATTTGCACCCTACAGATGACAAACAAGAAATATACAGCTGTACTTTTACGATAACTGCAATGAGCTGGCACACAGGATGGCATGTTCCGCCAGAATCCACGAATCAGTAGTGAAAGAATTGATGGATATATTATCAATAAATCCATACTCTGTGTTTTTGCGGTCCTTGGTACATATACCGAACTTTCAAGATTTCCACATAGCCCTCAAATGCGACTTAAATTTGGACCAGAGAGTATATAATTTGCCGACTTCATATGAAATTGCAGCAATATGGACCGAGGAAAATGATAGTGCAGCCTTTAACGCACCACATATTCAAATTTACCCTCGCACTGATCGAACACAAATAGTGAATTACTATTATGGTTGTATGATGCATTGCAATATCCGCTATTATTTCTGCTAGGGCAAAGTGGATGGTATTGTGGTATTAAGAAGCTCCCAGCAAATTGTCCTGCATTCTTACGAATTGTGCATCACGAAGAGGTACCAAGTATAAGAAATGTTACGTCACTTGACGAATATCTTGAAATGGAAGCTGAACTTCTTAAAAAAGGGCAGCGACAAAGAGATACAGTTTCTTTTCGTGAGTATTATTGTTACAAATTACAAATGAGAAATGCCAATGAAGATGAAATATTGCATACCAGAAGAATATTTCAGCAGTATTCAGTTGATGAATACATTAAACTCGAAACACAAAGGTTGGATTTCGCAGCGTTCAATCAAGATTTATCCAGGATGGCTATGCTGCAAGGACTTCTTGACATCTTGCGATTAGGTGAACGCGATGCTTCTAATATCGGGAAACAAAATTTTCTTCCACGCTCTTTTATTAGCCTCCCCAGACCCCACTTGTGGGATTATACTGGGTTATTGTTGTTGTTGTTGCTCTTTTATTAGAGGGCCGTGGGATATGCGACAATGGTACATGGATGCTATTGCGCTCGTGCAGCATTTCGGTAAACCTGATTTATTTATAACTATGACATGTAATCCCTCTTGGATGGAAATAAAGGGACATTTAATCTCAACTGATGAGGCACATAATAGGCCTGATTTGATTAGCCGTGTATTTAGAGCGAAAATAGAAGAATTCAAAAATGATATACTAAAGCGAAATATCTTTGGAAAGGTAGCAGCTTTTATGTATACTATAGAGTTCCAAAAGCGAGGTTTACCACACGCTCATTTTCTTATAATATTAACTAATGAATACAAGTTACTTACCTCCAGAGGCTTATGATAATATTATTCGTGCTGAAATACCTGATGAAAATGCATAACCAGATTTATATTCGCTTGTTCTTAAACACATGATGCATGGTCCATGCGGTAATCTAAACCCAACAAACTCTTGTATGAAGAAAAAAGGCTACTGTAAATTCAAATATCCAAAAAGCTTTGCAGACCGGACATCAAAAGGAGTAGAATCTTACCCAATTTATAGAAGATGCAATACAGGACTAGTGGTAAAAATAAGAGAACAATACTTGGATAACTCATGGGTTGTTCCATATAATCCTTTTTTGCTGGGAAAATTTGACTGCCATGTGAATGTCGAGATATGCTCTGATATTAAGGTCGTTAAGTATCTCTATAAGTATATATGTAAAGGTCATGACAAGATTGCATTTTCAGTACATAATAATGATACCAACACAGAAGTAGATGAAATAATGGAATACCAGTCTGCTAGATGGGTGTCGCCTCCCGAAGCTATGTGGCGCTTGTACGGTTTCTCCATTAGTGAAATATCACCGACTGTATGCTCTCTTCAACTTCATCTTAAAGGACAACAATTTGTTTCATTCAGAAGTAGCGCAAATGTAGATACACTTGTAAATAATTCGTTGATTAACCAGACGATGTTAACACAATTTTTTGAAATGAATAGAACAAATGCAGAGGCTATGAAGCTCAATCTATTATACCGAGAATTCCCTCGACATTTTTTTTGGTTTGCAATAGAGAGGATGTGGACACCTCGGAAACAATGATATATTATTGGTCGTGTTGTAACATGTCATCCAACAGAAGGTGAACGATATTATCTTAGAATGCTATTAATGACTATTAGAGGACCAAAATCATATAATGATTTGCTAACTGTTAATGGAGAACGTTGTAGCACCTTTAGAGAATCAGTGGAAAACAAGGATTGCTACAAAGCGACAATAGTTTGCTTGAATGCATGTCAGAAGCAGCAAGTTACCAGATGCCATACAGTTTGCGACGTTTATTTGCTACATTACTGATTTATTGTAATCCTACTAATCCAAGACAACCCTGGGAATAATTTGAAGAGCACATGTCTGAGGATTATACGTTGGTACCCAATATTCAGAAAAACGATATTCGATACCGAGTTTTAAACCATATTAACGACATATTACACTCTATGGGTGGTGACATAAATGAATATCAACTCATTCTTAAAACAATAAGGCCTTCTGTAGCGGCAAAAGAGGCAAAGAAGGTACACTTTGAAAGGACTATCGCGGTTACTAATGAGGATATACTATTACACAAAAAGTTGAATAAAGATCAGCTTAAAGCATATAATATAATTATAGAGAGAATTTTTTCAAACAAAGCTGCGGCATTCTTCATTGACGGACCTGGAGGAACAGGGAAAACCTTTTTATATCGTGCATTGTTGGCAACTGTACGATCTAAAAGGTATATAGTATTGGCAACTGCCACTTCCGGTGTAGCTGCATCTATACTTCCTGGTGGACGAACTGCACATTCACATTTTAAAATTCCTATAAATACTAATGAAAATGTGACCTGCAACATCAGCAAACAAAGCTCACTTGCCTGTTTGATTCAGGATGCAAAATTAATTATATGGGATGNTGTACGATCTAAAAGGTATATAGCATTGGCAACTGCCACTTCCGGCGTAGCTGCATCTATACTTCCTGGTGGACGAACTGCACATTCACGTTTTAAAATTCCTATAAATACTGATGAAAATGTGACCTGCAACATCAGCAAACAAAGCTCACTTGCCTGTTTGATTCAGGATGCAAAATTAATTATATGGGATGAAGTGTCTATGGTGAAAAAGAGAACGATCGAACTGCTTGATTTACTTTTAAAAGACTTAATGGATTCAACGATACTATTCGGTGGAAAAGTTGTAGTTTTCGGAGGTGACTTCAGGCAGACATTGCCAGTAGTTCGGAACGGAAAAAAGGAAGATTTCATTAACGAAAGTTTACTATATTCTCATATTTGGGAAGAACTTGAAAGGCTGCGATTATTCGAAAATATGAGAGCGAAAGATGACCCTTCATTTTGTAATTTTTTGTTGTGAGTAGGAAACGGAGAAGAAAAAATAAACTCAACAAACAAGATTGAAATTCCAACTTCTTTGATCATTCCTTATACAACCGAAAAGGAATCTTTGGATAAATTATTCGCGATAACTTATCCAGACGTGCATACAATTTTTTCCTCCTCATCCTATACAAGTTCCCGTGTTATCTTAACAACTAAGAATGATTCCGTCGACGATATCAACGACATGCTTGTTGCTCGCTTCCCAGAAGAATCAAAAACTTTTATTGGTATTGATGAAACTATTAAACCTCATGATAAAAATCACAATTTGAGGATCTGTTGCACAGTTTAAATCCACCTGGTCTGCCTCCTTACATATTTATATTGAAACAAAACTGCCCAATTATATTACTATGAAATTTAAATCCGTGTGATGATTTATGTAATGGAACACGTTTGACTTGCTGTGATTTTAAATCGCATGTCATTAGCGCCAATATTTCAGTTGGTCACTTGAAAAATACACATGTGTTTGTCCCTAGGATACCATTATTAGCATCCCAAGATGAAAAAATGCCTATTCCGTTTAAAAGGACACAATTTCCTGTAAGACTGTACTTTGCAATGACTATAAATAAAGCGCAAGGTCAGACATTAGATTTTGTTGGAGTTTGTTTGCGAGAACTTGTGTTTTCGCACGGTCAACTTTATGTTGCTTTGTCTAGAGCAAAGAGTTCGAACTGTGTGAAAGTGCTAATCCGACCCACTATACCAGGTAGGGAGGATGATCACTACACGGATAACATTGTCTACAAAGAAATCATCGAAAAAGCTACTTTATGAGGATATTGCGACAAGAACAGATAGTATCCTAGAAAAAAAAAAGGAAACAACTCACGAAGAATACTGATGATGTGCAATCCGGTTGGTAGCAATCAGCTTGTATTCGCTCAAGCGATGAAACGATAGTTGATGCTCTTTTCGCACATGACTGCTCCAACAAAGATGAATCTATACGGGGCTGTGGCATTGGCTATGATGGTCGTGCAGAGGCATTTTTGCATGAAAATTTGGTACATACTGCTGGAGCTAAAGGGCAATACTTGGACAGTCGATGGCATCACTTAATACACTGGTGGAGAACTGTTCCTATATGTAATTATTTCACAATCTAAAAGATGATAGAAATATTGTTAAACAAATGTACCTCTATATTTTATAAAATATAAATGTTTGCAAAACTTGAGAATTTACTGCAACTGAACTTTACATGAGAAAAAATAATTTGTTAGGTTCTACAGTCATTAGGTATACAGGGACAAGCCAATTAGCCATGAATAAGCTTTTTAACTAACAATGCCAACTTCTTGTACTAATTATCATTGCATATAATTATTAAATATAAAATTTCATCCATTTTATTATTTGTGCGTGGCTATTTTTTATCTTTTGATATATACTGATGATGTCTTCTTTTTTTCCCTAATGTAGAGTCTACATAATACATGGAGCATAGATTAACCATTGATAGGATCACTCCACAAACAAAAGAGTGGACGTCAAAGGTACAACTCATTGAGAAGCCTCGACCAAGGCAAAGTAAAGATGGAAAGACGCGATTCCAGATTGTTGTTGTCCGAGACGAAAGAGTAATCTTCTAACTACCTTGTTATTTCTTATTCTACTGGTTCAAATATAATTGCAATAGCTACTATTGTTTAATTGAAAGAAAAGAAAGAGATCCATCAACTTAGGTAATCACAAGTGTCATCGTTTCTCTCACACTGGCTATGTGAGGAACTAAATGTTTGAGATAATCTATGAAAGTAGATATTCCATTTACCATTCATGTCTGTCTGATATGTGGTTCTTCAGACAAAAATTGTGGTACCAAACTTTGAAATTTCTTCTTTGGATTATTTACTTCTTCATGTATAGTCCTTTATTTGTCCAGAAGGATATATTTACAGTGCACTTTGCAGTCGTCGTGTTAGGAATTTGCTTAAACTTCTTACATCTTAAGAAATTAAAAAACAAGAATTCAGAAGGCATGACCAATTTGATGGTAATTATTTCATTCATTCAATGTTCATTCTCCAAGGCCGCACTCTAATAAAACAGATATTTGTAGTGGTCAGATATGATGATAAGCATGTCATTAAGTACCTCTAATTACTTCTAGCTTAAAACTTATCTTCCGAGATATGATATATGAGATCTATCACGTTCTAAGAAGTTACTATTTGTATCTTAAGAAGCCTTTTTAAAATCCAAATTATGAATTACAATAAACAAAATAAAATCACATTAAAATCAGATTACATATACTATTTCAAACAAAAGAGTAAATGGAAGCATTCTTAATTGCGAGACATATGATAGATTGTCTATTTGTTGAATACACCCCCCACAATGCTAATAATACCAGAAACAGTTCATTAAAATACTTCAGCTCACAAATTACTTACATAATACAAATTAAATATTAGGTACTATTATCTCAAGAATATGACTTTATTTTGTTGCAAATACCTAGGCATAGGAGTGTCATTTCATAGTTATCCATCCACAACTTACAGATTGTTGAAACCATATTGTTTTTCTTATATTAACTGATCAGGTATACCTTTATTTAGTAAGCTGAAGGATTAAATGTAGACGTTTCCTCTAAGATAATAAACTTACACTTTCATAATTGACAGATTATTGAAATCATATTGTTGTCCTTGAAACATTTTAAGTAGTTGGCTGATAATAATACGAGTAGCTAATACGTTAATGTTCTTTCGCAGTCATACATTGTATTCAATTTATTATTCATCTTGCTAATTTGTGATCCTTTGAAGTGAATTTCATTTACTACCTTGTTGTAAACCTTTTGACTGCTACACTATGCATTTCTCATGTAATACCAATTGTCAGTTAACTAATGTATACATGATTTTAATTTTTCTTTTTACCAAGAGAATTTTTTACTTTGTAGCCGCTGGAATACAAACCACACTTGGTAATAGGTCTATTTGGTTTCATCCATACGAAATTGTTAATTTGCTTTCTGTACCATTATTACTGGACTATTGGTGACACTAACAACGAAATTTCGTTAATCTCATCCACAGTTGCCTCGAGCAGTAACAAGATTTTACAATAACAACTTTGTTTATGCTATTATTCTTCCACAATGTTGTCCACATTTTCATGTTGTCAACATCTTTTGCATTTAGTTTTCCCCTGGCCTTAAATTCCAATTGAGAAGTAGAAAAGAAAAAATAGTTGGTGGAATCTTGAGATGGTAGCCTCATAAGAAAAGTAGCTAAAAGTGGTGGAAGCTTCAGATTGGCCTCATAACAGAAGTGGCTAAAACATATAGATTTCTTGGGGTTGTCAAAAAAATTCCCGAGTTGNAAGTAGCTAAAAGTGGTGGAAGCTTCAGATTGGCCTCATAACAGAAGTGGCTAAAACATATAGATTTCTTGGGGTTGTCAAAAAAACTTCCCGAGTTAATTTTTTTCCTCATTTAAACGTTTTAGACATATATAATTAATTTCCAGATTTTGTGATGCAGTACTGTGGATTCTCTTTAGTTTTGGTGGATGAGATCTACATTTGAGAATGGGGAGTTCAACTACACATTCTTTACTTCAAAGAGCCATGCTGACTTTACGTCAATGGTATGAAATAATTTCAGCTATCGTTTATGACTGAGTAATATTCTTCCTCGGGCTCCTTTTTTGGTAACTCTCTACAAATTGTAAATCTTGTATAGATTAGTTATCAATTGTCTTTCATGAGTTTCAGGATGCTCATACTGTACTTTTTTACTATGTTAATATTTCAATATGTTGCATTTGTATGTCTCCATGTGTTTATATGGATACACTTCTGCAAGGGTAGTTGAGTAAGTCATCATTCTATTAAAATGCAGGAAGAGCAAGTAGCCGCTATTCTATACGGGGAAGACATAGAAAGTATGCAGACAACTTCACCCCGTTTTCCACTTACTTGATATCTACTGCAAAAGTGAGAGTTCCTTTACCCTACGGAGTACCTATCAACCGTTTTGAATGGGTTATTGATAAATTTACTATCGTCAAAGAGGTGAAAGATGCTAACATATAAGACCCACTGCTCCCACCTCCGACGAGGTTGAATACTGTACCCTTTGCATATTTGCACGAGCAACAGCGAAATATGGAATTTGATAACCATTATTTTACGCGTAATACCTTCTGACAATTAAATTTATTTGTATCCTTACATTCTGAGATCGTGTACATTGGTCTAAATTATAAGTCGCTTGCAATGTCCACTACACAGACATAATTGCCATTGTGGTGAACTGTGGCTCGATAAAGTATGTTGGCGCTAACAATAGCAAATGTCGTGAAATCACCATAATGGATACCAAGTAAGTCTGCTGGCATTCTATTTACTTTATTACTTCCTTCCAAAAAAAAATTGGCTATAAATATATAGCCAGATACTGTATGACGATGTCGTCTTATTTAGTTGATTACTTTTGTCAGATAACTTTAATTAAAAAGTTATAATGTCATGAGATTATAATCTCAGCCATCTCCTATTGCACCTTCAGCTTGATCTATGCCATATGCGTTACTTCTCTATTCAACAAATTTGATCTTTCTATAAATAGAACAACGCATAAGATCTCCAAAAAGAAACTGTATAGAATTTCAGACATAATCCAGCTTTCTCTTTGTCTTGACATTTTGAAGTACAACATTTTAGTGATCACCATGGTTTAGTACAAATTTTTATTCTGTATACTGGCCTAGGTAAAATCCAGTACTGCTCACGAGAAAAGAAATGCAAAGAAGTCTGAAATGTATCTATTACTATTTTTTTAATTTGTCCGTTACTGCCTTTTTTTAATGTAAACATTAACTACTACCATCTAATATATCGTAGTGAAGAAGACTTCATTACTCAATGGGAGATTAAAACTACTTATATTCTATTGTCCGCGTCATTTTTGTAGCTAAAACATGATTCATATATAATGCGAGTTAAGAAAGTTTGTTACTCATTTTAGAAGATTATCCATTGGAAAATATTTAAATGTGTAGCTAACTCTAATATATTAGATAGACGTGTCTCATTTCTTCAAATGCTCTCCTATTTCCTCTTCTAGGTCAGTTACAACTTTTTGTAGAAATATTTTTGGTTGACAAAAAAACCTTAACAAACAAACATAAAGTGCAATATGTTAACATCTGGAAAAATATTTATATAAGTTCTTAAGTGCCTATATAGGCAGAAAAATTCTCTTCTCAATCTTTATACTCGGCAATCTATCAGGTAATTTATTTGTTCTCTTTTTGGGACCCTATAATATATATTTTGCCGATGTATTTGCTGCATAGATTTTAGAAAATACAGTGACAACTACATAATCCAGAAGTCATTAACTCCAAACCGATTCTAATTAAGTTGTCTACAATGCCACTCTTCCCTATAGCGAGAAGAAATTAAACTGAAGCTAAGTATCAAAACCTTCAATTCGACTAACAGCAAAATCATAACAAACACAAACTTATCAAAAAAATAAAGCTACAAACAAGAATTTTTTTAGAAAATCTTACATATGCAGCCCAGAAATTCCTTCAATTCCAAAGCAAACATCAAAGAGAGTATACTGATGTGTTATGCTGCATTTGTTTGCTTAGACACGCAAGCTGCATCATTTAAAAAACCTTTTTGCCAACCTTCACTCTCCTGCGCGAACATGTTACTTACTTCTTGTTGCATTGTTTGAATTACGGTCTTACCGAATTGTCTGTGCTATTTTTATATTTAGACCTCATCTTTATTACTCTTGCTAATATTGTTAGACTTGTATTTTTTTTATTGGATAGTGTCAGTTATTGTCCATTCCTTTTACTGTAGTATGAGGCCTACTATCCTTACGCTGTGGGAAGACTTCGTCGATGCTGATGGAAGCATCCTCGCTGCAGAGGTTGCTTAATATCCAGTAATTGTAGCAAAACGAATTACGCGAACTACCTATGCTGGTATGGAAAACATTACGCTCTTTTTTTTGGATATTCCAAGAGGTTTATTGTGAATTCTTTACTAACATAATGAGTCATATAGGATTATCATTGTCGACAAGGTACAATTCGGTCATACTGATAAATCTACCATATCCTCAAGTTGGAAGACTTCTAAACTGGTATGGAACAAATATTGATATAATCGAATTTTATATTTTGTTAATTAGTTCATGCAAATTAAACATGTGCAGGTAAAACTAAATAGTCCAGCATATGCAATTCCCTTCTGTACTACCATGTTTTCCTTCTTCCCCAAAAAATGGGACATACTTAGCGGACTATAAGTTCGAAATTTCTGTTTCAATTAATTACAAGTTTATACAAACTTGGTATCTATGTATTTTCATTGAAATGGTTTTCAACTACATTGCATCTCATTTTACAATATAACTTTATGAGTTTAAAATGTTAGAGCTTATATGCAAATTTTCGCACCGATATATGTGTGAGTTTGCCCTTATATTCAGTCAGTATTTGGGTATGGTATATGTAATATTGCTAAGAACAACCAGTACTTCTATGAGCTCCCAATATGTAATGTTATCCCTTTTATCATCTATAAAATAGCACTGCAGCACGTTGGTTATTGGGGATAACTACTTTACAATCTGACAAATAAGGTGATATCGTTGTTCAATGCTGACTAAATTTGTGCAAAATTTGCTTATTCTTTCAACAGGAATTGCTGCAGTCACTGAGGCTAATAACCATAGTTTCTTATATGTATTCTTGTAAAGTGTCTACACTACNTGTCTACACTATATGTACGCATACCACATATGCACTATATGTTGGAGTTGTAGCCAGCTGAAAAATTATGTTATGTGTATTATAATTGTGGTCAGCTAAAAGAATTATTTTTTTGGGTACTTTCTGTTAATTTTTCGTGTTATTGGTGTAATCTGCGCAATAATTTATCATTGAAACAACCTATTCTTACTTTTTCCTACGCTTCTAAATTTTGTCACAACCTTTTCATGTCGTTTTAAATCTACCTGACATTTTGTTGCCATTGAAATGCCTCTATACATGCAAAGGGTCAGAGACAACCGACCAAGAATTATGAGATACAGTCAGCAGGCAGTAGATTCGTCTCTTATGCTTGCGGCAGAATACAATGATACTGTCCCAATTGCTGATATCCAGTCACAACCTCATGTAGGTATATTTCATCCCTGCTAATAGGTGTACATATACAGTACTTTAGTATTTTTATCCCAACTCAATAAATCTACCCCTCTTTTACAGATACAACTCTTTTACGTGGAAGGTAAATTATCATTGCCGACTGATGACCAAGATTTTTATGAATTACTGTGTTCCCACTACGGGCAGCAGTACAGAACTCATTCGCCGAAAATTATTCATTGTGCGAGCTGCAAACAACATGCGATGTTAACACCCAGGTATTATGACTTTGAATTCAAGCCTAATAAAATATGTCTGTTCTACATCTTCAAACAAAAAAGGTTTCTTCAGTCATTGGCTTTATGAAAATCAAATAACGCAAATTAATTGCTAACGTAAATCAAAGCGACGAATTAATTTACTTGATGCTTAAATCATGTTCTCTTATTATTCTAGCTTTGGTAGTACATCATGAAACATTTAGTTTATGAATGTTTCTGCCTGTAAAACTCAATATGGTTGATTTACTCTTTCATGTTAAAGAAACTTTATTCCCTTGAAGATTTGTTACTCTCCAGAACAGAAAAAGGGAGAATTGAACAGTTTCATGTTTCTAAAACTTCATTCTTTTGGGTTTATGGTGAACATTTTCATTCTTTTCTAAGAAACCAGGCAAGTCAATTGCTACTAACAATTATTTTTCTTGTGGGGTTCTTAGTGTTAATTGTGCTTCTTCTTTTTTGTTGCTATTAGAGCACGCTTTGAGGTTGTAATGACAGGTGGCAGTGGATCAGTTGTTGCAACATTAATAGGCGAATTAGGAGAGAAATTTCTTGATATAACCGCCGCAGATATCTGTGAAATCTCAGTTAAGGTACGTTGTTGATGGTAGCAGGAGAAACTTTTTTAAAACTATGATATCATGAAAACAAGTTTGCTCTTAATTTTTTCAATTATGTTTTTAATTGAACATAAATATAATTCAAACAGAACTTAACATAATTTTTCTTGTCACCACTAAACATAAGTTGGTGGAGTAAAATTTTCTTTTCCTCGCATCAATCAAAAAAGTTCATTGTAGGAATCATATATTGTATTATCTCCCAAGAATTTTTGTCATTTTGTAACATCTAAAAGTTTTATCCTTCCTTTTTTTCCACCTACTAATTAAAATATACATAAGTTGGTGGAGTGAAATTTTCTTTTCCTCGCATCAATCAAAAAAGTTCATTGTAGGAATCATATATTGTATTATCTCCCAAGAATTTTTGTCATCACTAAACATAAGTTGGTGGAGTGAAATTTTCTTTTCCTCGCATCAATCAAAAAAGTTCATCGTAGGAATCATATATTGTATTATCTCCCAAAAATTTTTGTCATTTTGTAACATCTAAAAGTTTTATCCTTCCATTTTTTCACCTACTAATTAAAATATAACCACTAATTAAATAAGTTGGGAATTTTTTTTAAAGAAAGTTATTTGATAATTTGTTTGTATTTCAATTTAAGAATTACAACTAAAGAAGTTTCACCTCCACCTTAAATGGTCTAGCGGATAAGCTTTTCCAGATAGACAAAACCATACTTAGAGGTAAAAAGAACATCAAAAAGTCAAAGCTCAACAGAAATAATAAAGTGAAATGTTAGTTAACCCTAAGTTATTACTTGACTATTCAATGTTGCTCTGTTAGTTCATCATCTGGATTGTACTGCTTAGCAATGTTAGTTACTGCCAGTCACAGAGGTTGTCAAGAATTTTCTTACTAAAGTACTGATTATGTCTGCTTATACCTCCATTTCCACATGCCTGTCGAAAACTAAAACATCTCCTTTAGGCCGCTTAAATATTACAATTGGCTTCTTAAATTCATCATTAATGAAAAGATAATTAAAGGCTATAGCCTTTGCATCCCAAGAACTTTACAGGCTTAAAACATCCAATTAATTCAGAGTATATTACTTTTGACCACTATCTTCATGTGTTAATTCATATTTTTCTCTCCCGCAGGACCAACCATTACCTCTTGAACACGTTCGACAGCGTCTTCCTTATAAACTCTTCAAGATACAACTGAGAAAAACATTTTCTAGAACTTCTGATCCGCGGTTGTTCATTGTGTCCTACTATGTGAAGGAAGATTTGTTTCAATTGCCCGCACCAGTAGCTTCTGAAGAAATTGGAGAGAGCAGTAACACTAAATTGGAAAATGTTGACCTGAAGAAAGAGATAGAAAATGAAGGCAGCAGTCAGTTGAATGTGGAACAAGTTACACCCATAGAAGAGCTGAAGACCACGTTAACTACAGAAGGTGGCTCTTCTACCAAGAGGCAACAAAC